TCAAAATACAACTTATATCTAGTTATATATTTTTAATTGACATTTTCCTTCATTTTTAGTCATTCATCAATTGTCGAAGTAAATCGATATTTTCATAATTTTCTATTAATTTTATATTTCTATTACGTCTCGCCTGAATATAAATGCGTTAGTCATACCTGGATAGTATGTACGTGCATTCGTGTGCACTTTTGATTTTCTCTCTTGATATGATTTACGTGCTTAATAATGGTTAAACAATCTTTAATAATGATGAACATGATTGTGCTTGTGATGTCCAAAACAAGGTTCATAAAATAATTTTAATTAAGAACTTAAATGAAACGAAATCATAATATTATTAAGTTATTTATGGCAAATTGGCCGTGGATTTAAATAAACATATCTAAATTTGCAAATACATATTGGATGCAACTTGGGAGTTTTTGTACATAAACTGAATTATGAACTTATACATTTTTTCAGTTAATACTCAATAAGTTCAAAATATTAACATGTGTTAAATATTTTGTTTTTCCTAGTTGTGAAATGTGTTTTTTTTTAATTGTTGCATAACTTTACAAGTGCGCATCCGAATGCAATACAAATGTCGTTTCACTACTGAAATATGTTATTTTGGTATTGCGATTTTTTTTAAAGTTTGAATTCTGTAGATAAAGATCCACATTTATTTCTAATTTAAAATAATAATTATATTATTTTAACTTGAATATTATAAATTAAATTTATTTAACTTGATTAAAAAATTTCATAAAGATCAGTCAAGCCACTTCAGAGGAGTATTATATTACCAACATCATGGCACGAGATATTATAAATTAAATTATTAGAAATGATAAATAAATTAACCACTACATATTTGTATTTGGTATTGGGTATCTAATTAAATAATGTATCTAATTAAAATTGAGACATTGGGTGCATACGTCCCCCTATGGGGTAACGAGAACAGATGGAATTTTTAGAAAATATTGCAGATAAACATATTCTATATTAGGCAATAACTGATAATTGGTTGAAATGTGTTATGTCCTGTGATGTCTGTTTTTTACAGTATAATTATACATTACGATGCTCAATGGGATATTTCACTCGATGATGCATCTCATATAACTCAACAATCAATCACGAAAGACACGTGCGCTATTTTTCATCTTTATAACTAGATGTAACAGAATCGCATTTTTATTTAGATTTTAATAGATAAAATAAATCTGTAACATGCGTGTTATTTTTTCAGACTGCAATAAATAATTGAATTCAATTTTAGTATAAACGGCTAATAAACCTAATATATGTAAATGGCTAATTTGTAAAAAGGAGGCTAAATAAATTCATAATAAAATAAATTCTAATTAAAAAAAAAATAGATCATAATTGTGTGAAAAAAAAGAGAAAAGGAAAATTTTTTCTCAAAAAAAATCACACATAGCAATATTATTATAAAGAGATAATTAGACAAAAAAAAGAAAGACAAAAAAAGATTTAAAAAATTCTAATTGATGTATTTTTGTGTTATACGTTTTTATGGGTAATAAATATTTAAAGTATGTGAATCAAAAGCATTTTCAATTTGCTTACAATTTTATGAACAATATGTTATTTAAAAAAAAGTCTTCGCTCATTTTTGCGAATTCAAATATAGAAAATCTTGATCCAAACATAAAATGCTATTCAATATATCAATATGATTTCAATATAAATATTTTTTCTATAAAAACTTAATTATATTCATAAATTAAAATCATTATTCCGTATAGATACGTATTTACATATTCTCTCTTTAGTACATTACAATTTGATTTAAAATATTTCTATGTCTTTATATGTTGACCATTACTGATATTTATACGTATAATCAGATACACAAATTAGCTCTATGAAACATTACTAACAATTATTTATTGCTCTTGCTTTTCAGTGTGCTGTGATTTGACCAGTGTGTGATTTTTATAACACTTATATATTTTTTA